CTGAAACTAAAGGCTCAAAAAAAAAAGATTCAATTCAGAATGATGAAATAGAAGTTGAAACTGTTTTGAATACTTTAAATTCACCTAATTCGGATTTGTCTAATTCAGATTTACCTACATTTACCTCAGATTTGTCTACTTCGGATTTATCTATTTCATCCTTACCTATTTCAGTTTTTTCTATTAGAGATAAAACATCTATTAATCGTCAATTGCTTAGAGCAATTATTTTATCTAATATACCATTATCATTCGTAGAAGACCTTGAAGTAATTAAGTTGTTCAATATGTTAAAACCCAGATATCAGCTTCCATCTCGCAAATGGATTAGTACTAATATTTTAGATAATGTATATAAGAATGTGCAACATGGTGTTCAACAATTTATATCTGATTCAAAATTTTTGACACTTTCTGGTGATGGGTGGACTAATATATCAAAAAATAGTATGCTCAATTTTATCGTAACAAATGAAAAACATGAAAGTCAAATTTTGAAAATAGAAAATTGTTCTAATCAATGTCATACTGGAGATTATATATTTGCAATATATAAAGAAATCGAAATAAGCCTTGGAGATAAATGGATTGCATTTATTTCAGATAGTGGATCTGATTTCAAAAAAGCACAATGTCTTATATGTGAGGTAAAATATTAAAATAAATTATAGTTAAAAAAATTTAAAAATTAATATATATTTTATTTATATTTATTAGGATCTTGAAATTGGCAATAAAGTTTTAACAATTCCGTGCATGGCCATCAAACCAATTTAATGGTCAAAAAAATAGTTGAATCATCATTTTTTAAACCAGTTATTAAAAAAATGTTGATAATTATTAATCATTTTCGAAATTCCAATCTTGCACTATCTAAATTAAGAGAGTTAGTCAGTAATACAACTTTAAACTCTCAATATCCATGTATTACACATTGGGTGACATTTACAAAAGCATCTGAAACAATATTGCAAATTCAAACAAGTTTAAAGATAATTTAAAATAATTTTCTATACGGATTGTATATTTAAACTAAATATGTACTGTATATTTATTTTTATATAATTTTTTAGGTTATTGCACTTATGCATTCATCTTATCTAATTTCGCATATACAAGAAAATAGTATTATAATTGATACTATTAATGATAATGAATTTTAGACAAAACTAGAATTATTTTATGAGTTATTAAAACCATATGATTATATCATAAAAATTCTAGAAACTGAAAATGCTACATTAGGTCAAATCGCTGCATCATGGGCATGGCTTCGTGAAACTATTAACAAAAGCTTACTTATTAATGACAATGATTTTCAAGATTTTTTAATTATGGAAATTGATAATCGTTGGGAAAAAATATTTAATCCTATTTACTTAATTACATGGTTTCTACACCCATATCATCATGGAGAAGGATTAAATCCAACTTGGCACTTATATATTCAGGAAACTGCATATGAGTTATTTTGTATATTTTATCCTAATTATGATTAGAATAAATTTATTGACGAATGGTTAAATTATTCAAATCAGGAAGGTCCATTTTCTGCATTGTCAGTCAAAAATCCAAGCTTTACAAGATTACCATTACGATATTGGCGTACTATGCATTATGTAGCTCCAAATTTGAGTAAATTTGCATGTCGCCTTTTATCAATCCCACCTAATTCTGCAACCTCTGAATGGGTTTGGTCCTTATTAGATAATATATATACAGAACGTCGTAATTGGTTGTCTCCACCCCAGACTGCAAAAATGGCACAGATCTCTTGGTATATGAATCAAACCTCAAAAAAAAAACTGAAAAATCAAGTAATGATAAAATGGAAGATAGTATTTCAGATGATGATAATGATCATAGTGTAAATGAATTTATGGTTAATTTAAACCAAATATCCGAAACTTTAATAGATGATATTCATGTATTTGATACAAATTGTGAAGAAACGATTCCAAAACTTGTTGATGTTTTTGATTCAAAAATTGTTAAAAAATCCTTGAATCAATTGTATATATAAATTTTTGAATAAATAAAGAGAAATTTTGCATAAAATTTTTTTTTTAATTAATGAAACTTTCTTAATTTTATTATTCGAATATATTGATTAGTTGTGTGCGGCAAATGGTTAACTCATTTTCTCTTAAAAATTTATTGCATCATCAACATATTATTAAGTAGTTTTTAATTAATAACCTGACCAATTGTTAATAATTAATTATTAATTATTAATAATATAGGAGGTCCCATCACTAGTACTAGTCTTTAAAAAATTCAACTTCTGCACAGTATTGTGTTTCAGGAGAAACCGTCAATGTGTTACATAGTAATCCTTCATACGATGTAGTTAATAATAATAAAATTATTTATTTTTGGTTTACTCTAAAATGTATGTTGTGGATATAATTCCTAGAAAATGTTTTATTTATGATCAAAAATAAATAAATTATAAACTATTAAAATATTAAATTTTGTTTCAAATTAACAAGTTTAAAAGTTATGCAGAATTTAAATTAGTGGGTAATAATCTTGAAGTGTATAAACTAACCCAAGACACAACTAATAACAAATATTTGATAGTATTTCAATATGCAAATATAGGAAGCCTTCATTATAAACCATATACTTTGTGATTTCATTACTTCATTTTTGGTATGTCCTATCTTTAAATTTTAGTGATTTTAATTGAAAAGTAAATTAAATCAACTTGTCAATATTTCTAATAATTTAACGAATATATACTAAAGTAGAAGATGTTTATATTTAAATTTTTTTCTTTAAAATGTTTATTTTCATTTACATAAATTATTCCAATAAATACTTTCAATATATGTTTTTGTTTTTCAAAAAAAATAAAATGGCATTAAACAAATAAAAATTTAACATACCTTCATCACTATATACATTTGAAAGAGGAGAATCACCAAGTCTTTCAACATTTACATATATTTCTGAATCAAATACACCAACTGAAATATATGTAGGAGGATGAGTCTTATCTTCAGTATAAAATTTTTTTCACTGAGAAAAAACTAAGTTATATGAACATTACTCAGTGAAGTGTTTTTATTGTGTAGCTAAATGATCAAAAGGTGAACTAGTAAAACTTGAAGCTCATCTTACATTACAGTGTCCTAATGTTGAAGAACATGTTAGGCAATTTTATTTATTCCAAGTAATTTGTTGTAATAATTTAGAAGAGCAATCTGAACATTCAAAAAAACAAATTAAATAATTAATATAATCTTACAAAATATTTTTCACAAAAAACTGGAGGTAGCTTGGCTGAGAAACAAATAAATGTTATAAATATTGCATTATTAAAACCTTTTGTAATATGTGAGATTTCATTTTCAATAATTAAAAATTCATAATTTATTAATTTGCTTCAAACACTGTATCCAGATTATGAACCATCAATAAGAAAAATTCTAGTAGGACAATTGTTGAATCAGAATACTCTAAAGTTATAATTAAATATGAGACTATTTTATGTAAATTAGATAATCTAACTATCAGTATATTGAATTTAATAATTTAATTTATAAATTATATTATATATTTTATTTAATTATATTATATTTGTTATAGCATTAAATAGGTAAACATCTTCTAATAGAAACTTCATATATAGTTTTATCATTTTAATACTTATAAACAATAAATATTTATATTTATTACAAGATTTTTCTACAAATTTGTATACCACTAAATTTCTTGTAAAGAAAATTGATAATATTTTAAATAAAAACAGATATAATAAAATTACAGCAATTGTTATGAATAATGTAAACAATATAAGGCATGCTTAACAAATTATTCACAAAAAATATATCAAAAATTTAAATTTAAATTGCATTGCATATAGTATCAATCTTGTATCTAAGAATGTTCTTAGTAAGTAATAAAAAATATGTTCAATTATTATAAATTATTACTTATTATTGATATATTTTTTTAAAATATGTGTTTGTTTCATATTTTATAAAAGAATATAATGAAATTATAAAATATTTTAAAAAATTATGCCAACCAAATACTTATTTACAACAAGCAATTAATGAGTTAAATATTTCTGATGATGGACTAAAAAAATTTATTAATACAAGATAAACTTTAGCATATAATTGTACATTATCTGTTAGTCAACTTGAGTATGTATTAATTAAAGTAATATATTTGTTACTATAATTATTATAGTTTATAATAATAAATAACTAAGTTTTATTTTATAAATATTAATATACAAATTATGAATAAAAATCTGAACTTAATTATAAATCATAGTGTTAACCAAATTTTAAAGCAATCTTATTCTTTTTCAGATTTTAAAATATTAATTAAATTCTTATATTCAATTTGAAATACAATTATAAATTTAGAAACTCAATCAACAAAATTTGCAAATTGTTTTATACAATTTGTTAGTTTAGTAGTTATTATTAAAAAACTATCAAGTATCTGAATTAATAGATTTAAAAACTATTGTATATATGTTTTAACAAGTGATGTAATGATTTTAATATAAATATTTATTATTTATTAGCTTATTTTTTACACCTAAGTCATTATAGTATATTACATTTTAGAACTTTAATAAATTAAGTATTTATGAGTTAATGTAATATTTAATTTAAAAAATGCTAAATTCTATGAAAAACAATTTAATTTTATTTTTTTTTTATTTTTTTTTTAAGGTGACCTCTTTGGTTTTTTGACTTTTATTAATCACTTATTGGTATTGTAATTTAATAAACTACTACAGAAGAGAGTACAATTGGCTACATGTGTAACTTTTTTATATTATCTATTTAAGAGTTCACTTGAAGGTTTTCTACCAATTGCCATACCTAATACCCCTGCTTGTATGTTTTACTTTAAACCCTCTGAATCTGTAATCTGTATTAACTCACTAGGTTATACCCAGATATTTAGATTATCATCTCGATTTTAGAACTAATTTATCCTCGAGATAAATTCCCCAGAGCCTTCTGTACCTATTTTTACGGCTGACCTAGGTATTGCTATAGCAGAACTCACACTTGCAGTCAGAGCTAACTATTAAACTGTTATGCACTTGTAGAGTTCACTTAGACCCCAGCATCTACTTCATAGCATAACTCCATTATCAATTCCTCCAGCACCAACAATTCCAATTTCTAACTCTTATGTTTTTGAAATATTCAAAACTAGTGAAGCAGCAAATATACTAGAACAATACTCAATTCTTAATAGCTCTCATCAACAACTTAACTTCTATACTGATGGTTCAGTAATCAATATTGGAACTGACCAATGTATAACGGACATTGGCTGGGTCCAGGTCAATAACAATAATCAAATTATTCAAAAATTTTTAGCAAAAATCAGCTTCTGGCCATCATTCTACAAAGCAGAACTAATGGCCATTCTCTTAGCCATTTCTACTACATACCAAAATGCAATAGTTAATATTTTTACAGATTATCAATCTATTATTACTAAATATACTAACATCTATATCATACTCTCTAATTCTAATAAACTTTTCAAATT